ATGAAAAAGCAAGAACCCTAGCACAAGATACAAACAGAAATATAATGCACAACACAGAGCAGTTCCAATAAAAACACTCAGTCTTTATTGCTATTCTCCGCAGGGCACAACAGTTGATACACGACACAGCTCTTGCAAAAGATAGATTACACACACACTTTTATAGAACAGATTCTTAATCTAATTCTACCCAGAGTTACGCGACTTCACACCGACCGTGATTCGCTCCTGAACATGTTCCTAATCTACCCAAGAATGCAACGCAACAAACAGTCATGAAGCCGTAGCACCTACTACTCACAGCACTACTGCAACAAATATATTACAAGATACTTCTATAGAATAGATTCAGAAATCCTATCCTACCCAGAGTTACGCGACATCACATACACAGTGATTCGCTCTCGAACATATCTCTAATCTACCCAACACTGCAATGCAACAAACAGTCACGAAGCCTCTCCTTTTCTCTCAAAACACCATAACACTTTTCGCTCTGTTTCTGAGATCTCAAAGAGCTATTTTTGGGAGAGCCAACGGCATAAGGTCAGCTTCCCACTCCTTTTATAGTAGCAGCAACCAGAAATCCAAAGAGAAGACTATGATAAAATTGATTTTCTTTTGAAATCCAAATAGAAGAGAAGAAGTCTCTTCTACGGTTACCCAAAAAAGAGAGCTTGAGTGATTCGATTTTTGGAAGAGGGCACAAACCTATCGTACGTGTGAAATACAAAATCTGTGTGTTAGAACAATTTGGTTTCTTATTAAGGTCTGTTCATAATTCAGGACGAAATTAAGAAGAAAAGTCTAGAGTTTTTGGTCACTTGATCTACCAATGTGTTTCAATTGTATATACCAAATAGATCCGGTTTAATTGTATTTGGGTTCCAGTCAAGTTAGATTTGGTTTTGTATCATTTCTTAACTTTGACGAGAAACAGAAATAAGAAAAGTTTGTCCAAATATTCAACATCTCTAATATACAGTATGTTTAAAAGCTGATTATTTTCTATTTTAAATTTAACAGTTACAAAATTCATGTTTAGTGACGGAAAATGGATCGTACGTGATGAATAAAAAAGGACATGATAATTACATAAATTCATTGAGTGCT